TAACTATAAAACATAAGTTAAATGGAAGAATTGCTGAAATTTGAAGGGAGGGTAGATTTTATTACATTTTAAAAATCCTGATGGTAGACTTGAATTTGTAAGTATTTTTTTTCCTCTGGGTTTTGTTTTCAGATAGATTAGTTTTCCCAGTATAGTTTTTTTATACATTGTTTCTGTTTTATTTTATTTAAAGAGTTCATAAAAGCTAGGTTTATTATTTTTTTAACATGTTTTATTCAGCTTGTTAATCTTAAATATATGTTGAAATGTTAACTCTTGACGTTTTAATACTTTGCCAGCATCTATAAATATACATTATAACCATTACCTACAATGAGTTTACTATTTGGTATTTACTTATTGAACAGTATATTTTATATTGCATTTTAGACATTTAGATGGAAATTGAATTCAAATAACTAGTCTTTTGTGTTAAATTTCCTTCTATTAGAAAAAAATATACAAAGTCCCTTTTCATAGTAAGTTGTGATGCTAAAGGTGATTGTATTATCAAAGATGACTGGTGAGAAGTTGCATTACCTCACAAGATTATAATTGGGTAACGGACTTAGATTAAATCTTCAAATAATAAGATTTCAATGAGTACATTTATTTTCACTGTAAATTATAAGTATTGAACATGAGGGTCAATGTCTGCAGGATGCATTTATGTTTGTTTGTAATGACATCTCAGATGTGGAAAAATGTTTTCTTTCTTACTTTTGGTTTTGTTCTTGTTATAGGCTGGTTTCATTCAGGGAGCTCTGAAACCACACTAAGTGATTAGGTTACCCTGGTCAATAAAAATGAAATGTTGGAGGGGGAGATTTAATCTGTAAAATTTTCTCAATATGGATGGTTTTAAAATAATTTTTTAAGTTATTTTTGCTTGCTAATCTGTTTCATTCACCTTTTATCTTATGATCTTTAAATCTCTATCATATTAAAAGATCACATTTAATGATCCTAGCCTCAACATCTCTTTATGAAATGTTTTCATTTTGCTCCATTTATGAATTGTGAAGCTTTTTTCAATTATTGGTGCAGCTTAGATTACCTAGAACTTCATTGTCCAATGTGATAGTCCTTAGCACATGTGACTATTTAAACTTAAATTTAAACTAGCTAAAATTAAATAAAATTAAACATTTAGTTCCTTAGTCACACTGGTCATATTTAATATATTCCTTAGGTACATTTGGCAAAAATACAGTTCAAGCTCTTGAATTTCTCCAAAAAGTAAAAACTTTGTTCCTACAGCATTGGTATCTATAGCGTATGGATTTCTTTTAAATCATGACCATATTTTCACTTTCTGTTCTTACCCATTTTACCTAATCCTGAATTGTCTGCCTTGCAGCTATTGATACTTTTCTAAGACTATGAATCTCATACATTTGATTTATAGGTAGAAGAGCTTTTAAAAATTAGACATATACTTTGAGATTGTGTTAAAGGGTCTGGGGCTGACTTTAGGAATCTTTATTTTTAAGGAGCCAGATTTAGGAATCATTGGCCTGGGGCACACTAACCATTCACTCCTGCTTTTTCTAAACTTTACTTTTATATCCAGTCAGATCACCAAAGAGCCACGTTCCCTGATGATATAAATTTGTCCCCTTGCAGAAATATTCTTACCGAACCACAACCAATGTTTATTCGTTTATTCAGTAAAATACTTACTAAGCGCCTGCTATGTGCCAGGCACCGTTCTAAGTGTAGGGGACGGTACATCGGTGAATAAAACAGACAAAAATTGCTGTTTGCATGAACCTTATAGACTACTGAACGTTAAGCCTTTCTGTCCCAGACTTACATAAAAGAGTCAAGAACAGAAGATGCTGCATGTAAAATGTCTGGTTTTGAATTTTATGTTTAATAAAGATCTCCTTGATAAATTCCACCCAGGAATTCAGTGCTAGTAGAAGCTTCTAGTAGGATTTGGCATGATTCCTTCTGTTAAAGAATGTTGTCTTGCTACAGGGAAGCAGTTAGAAGACCAGCCGCACCCCTAATTTCTGCTGCCTCCCCATATTATGGTCTGTGTCTCTCTCTCTTTCGTTCCTGATCTCTCATTCTTCCAGCAACCCCATCTCTCCTTCCCTCACATTTTCCCCTCATTTTAGAGATGTAGTTTTATTGTGAACAGTGTGTTTGGTTATAAGCAACCTAGAATTCATTTTGTAAGTATATTGGAAAAAGGGGAGATCTAAAGCGATGAAGGAAGTAAGCATTTGCTAAGATTGGTTCTTTGAACTTGAAGGAAGGCTGCAATTGTATTCTGGGAGATAGGGATTCTTATTCTTAAACGGAAAGTAGGCTTCTGTGTTCACAGTAACTCTGTAAACTTTGAAAGTCCTTGCTCTTTGACTTTTACAAGTTATTATTGAAGCATTTGTATATAATAGATTTAAAAACTTGGTGGAAACCCTGGGGCAATTGGGTGGCTCATTTGGTTAAGTGTCTGCCTTCGGCTCAGGTCACGATCCCAGGGTCCTGGGATCAAGCCCCACACCACCTCCCTGCTCAGTGGGGAGTCTTCTTCTCCCTCTCCCTCTGCCGCTCCCCCTGCTTCTGCTCCCTCTCCCTCTTCCTCTCTCTCTCTCTCAAAATCTTAAAACAACAACGGCAACTTGGTGGAAACCCTAAAGATCATCTAGTCCAACTATCTAATCTTACTGGAAATGAGATCCTGGGTTTTAAATAATTTACCCCAAGGCAACTGCTAGAGTGTCACTGGTAGGATTAAAACTCAGTTTCCCTTTATTTCACTGTGGTCCTCTTTCCACCAGACTTTAAATTAGAAAATGTTTTGTGTGCCTTTAAATATGATAAATTTAAGAGATGTTCATAAACTTTTTATTACTTTCATCCTATAATATATGGTTTCTAAGAATTCAGCTAAACAGACTTTTATTGAATTGCCACCGTGTACTCACTACTGGGCACGGAAGATGAGGAAGCCAACTCCTCGGCACATGCGCACCATAGAGTGGGGACACTTTGCTGAGCTCCTCATAAGCCTGCAACCACAGTGTGCTGATGGAAGAAAGAACTGTTTCTTACCCTCAAGGATTTCAAAATCTAGAGAACTAACTTAGAGTTGCTAAATTAAAACTTGATAAGAATTCTATTTCAGAGTGTTTGCTTTATAACCCACATACTGTATCCCATAGAAAAACTTGAGAAGAAAAAGAGCAGTCTGTAACTGGAACTGTAACAAAACCCAGTAAGTTTCTCATTCTGTTTACTTACAATGAGAGTTTACCAGAAACACTCATCTTGTCTGGGGCATGTCCTCTTGATCAGTGTACGCATTCACAGGTAATGTAGTCCAGTGGTTTTTAAACTTTTTGGGAATCTGATGCACATATGCGACTTTCACACTCAATTTTAAGATGTGTATGCTGCCTCCTCCCCTGCCAAGCCCGTTCATGATCTCTCATCAGACGTATCTGTGTCTGTGGCTGGTGGGGGGGTTATTTTGAAAGAGACTTTCAAGTGGTCCTCATCCATGGTGAACTTCTGCTACTAATGAGACCCTATTGTTTCTTTCTGGTATGTTGAAAACCACAGATGTAATATTTATCATGCACTGTCATTATTTACATCTTACGTACTTCTTAAAAATCTGAACTTCGCAAGCCTAGTAATCTTCACTCATACATTGTATCCTGTGTCCAAAATGATATCGGCCTGCCCAGTAATATTATTAGACATTATTAAATAAATAAATAAAATATAAAAATAAAAAAAATTTAAAAGCAGTTCTATTTTAATAAATACTGGAGGATAGTAGAGAGTACATTAAGGTCTGTTGCAAGCAATCTGGATTCCAAAAGTCCTAGCTTCACAGCTATAATTAGGGGCGCATCCTTAAGGAAGCACCTAATCTTGGGCCTGGTTCACTTCATCCGTAAAAGGAGATTGTAGTAAATTCAAATTTATAGTCTCTAAGGACTTAGCTTTACACTTTGTTAAGTGAAATAAAGCAGGCATCTGGAAATGAGATCTGGATTCTACACCAATGTATATTTTTATATTTCCACAAGTGTGTGGCTGTGTGATTTACTTTCTATACTTATTTCTCACAAAATGTAAATCGGACACCTTTTAACTCTCACTCCAGCGGGGGCATAGCATTCCAGGTCTCTAGCCTGCAGTTGGGCCACCGCATCCTATACCTATCTCCATATTCTGTGACGTCTCTGGTGCTCCCCTCGAGGACAAGGGCCCATGTATGTAGTACATGTCCTGCTGAAGGGAGCACGGGAACTGTGCATTTTAGTCTGCATATCTCCAGTGGCTAGCACGGTGCTCGGGCACATAAAAGACAATAAAAATTTGTTAAGTGAGTAAATTATTTTTTAGCTCCTCTGAAAAAGTTTGTATAGGTACGTATGTTTTAATTATGTTTTAATTACACCATCGTAAGTCGGTTTCCAAAACGATATTGTAATTCAGAGATATTTTAACTAGCTCACCAAATTTTTGATCATCTTCCCTAAAAGATCACTAAACATCTATTATATGGCAGGCCCTAGAAATAGAACTCCTCATGGGTCTCAGAGCTCGGCAAGTAAGACAAAAAGATGCATGTTGTTAATTCTGGTGGCAGAGTGAGGACTCCTATAATACAAGTATAAGCAAAATGTAAGTAGACATTAGAAGTTTGAATAACACTTGTGCTATGACTCATATCTTGGAATTATGATAAGTATTTTAGTCAATAAGTATGATTTCTTTGTTTAATTCCCAGCTCTTTTTATAACAAGTCTCTTTACCAGTGATGACATAGATGAACCAGTGTTACTTACTCATTGCAAGTATTTTTTTAATGAGCTAGAAAGTAGACTAAGTTGCTTTTTAGCACTGTGTCTCTCTAAAGGTCTCCAAATATTTTAAAACATGCGTGGAAGCCTGACACAGATGGATCTTGTTCTAAATTATTGTCCCATATATTCTGCTTTTTCTGATAAGTGAATTTTTGCTTCTTTTAGGAGGATTTTCTATGGGAGGGTGCATGGCAATGCATTTAGCATATCGAAATCATCAAGATGTGGCAGGAGTATTTGCTCTTTCTAGTTTTCTGAATAAAACATCTGCTGTTTACCAGGTAAATTTTTAAAAACAAAACAAAAGCAGGCATGAAATATTCACACATTGAAACTAAAAATTGATAATTAAGCAATAACGATTGCTGCACAGAGCACTGCTGGAAATCCATCCCCAATTAGTTAATATTAAATATTCCAGCTGGTCATTAATGTTCAGGAAATGCCATAGAAAGAGTATTGTTAAGCACAGTGTCAAAGGGGAAAGGATAGAAAGAATCTATGTAAGATACATATGTATCCCATACACATAATAAAACTACGGGTGATTATAGCAAGGTTTGTTTATTATGTCCCGAATGTAATCAAAACAAAGACTCACCTTCCCGATACCTGTTACATAGCAACATGCTAATATATGAATACAGTACCTGAGAGCATTGTAACTTCCTGCCTGAAGTAGAAGCAGCAGATACAGAAATGAAAACTAGACTGTAATTTTTCCCTTGATTGTCCCTGCCTTCCTCCGTCCTTCCACCCTGCGTGAAGAGGTCTGTCTGACCGAGTCTCACAGTCTCTTCAGGAAGCCCTCTGACCATGTTTGAGACGGTCCTCTATGGAGTCACTGCTGGTCGCATAAACTAACTGCAGCTCACGTGGTGCTGCAACCAGCTGAGCCCCCAGCTAGGACCACCAGGGTACACCTTAGACTGCACCACGACTGCTGCTTTTCTCCCTTGGAATATTGAAGCTTGGGTAAAATTGCAATTTTTCTGCCCTGTGTGATTTCCCAGAATGACGTTCTTAAATGAGTTTCTTAAACATTCCCATTTCTATCTCCTGTTCTCTAGGCTCTTCGGGAAAGTGATGGTGTGCTCCCTGAATTATTTCAGTGCCATGGTGCTGCAGACGAGTTAGTCCTTCATTCTTGGGGTGAAGAGACAAACTCGATGTTAAAATCCCTAGGAGTGAGCGCGAAGTTTCATAGTTTCCCGGGTGTTTACCATGAGCTAAGCAAAGCTGAGCTAGAAAAACTGAAGTCATGGATTCTTACAAAGCTTCCAGGAGAACTGGAAAGGCAAAGTGAATGAATCAAGGTTGATTTGTTAATCTACATGTCATGCCTCTGCGAAAAGTGGTTTTTACTGCCAAATTACAATTTGATAAATGATAATTAAAATATTAATAAATATGAAGTGTACTGATTTATTTAGTAGTTATTGAGATGCTTAACACCACAGACGTAGCATCGTCTTATTAATGGTAAATATTTAGACAAACATCTGTGGATTGTTTTTCAGATACATTTGTAAATGGAGATCTTTTGAGTAATTAAATATTTAAATTTAAAAAATAATGTAAAGTGGGTTTAAGTAAGGGCAGTGAGAAGACATGAAGAGGCTTAATATGGCATTTTATTTAAAAGTGTCCTATTTTGTTCCCAAATATTTGGGAATATTTTAGATACATTTGTTCCTGATTTCTAATTTAAATCCATTGTGGTCAGAGAGCATACTCTGTGTTACTATTTTGTCTATGTTCATGAAGGATATTGGTCTGTAGTTTTTTTGACCCCATAAAATGAATTGGGAAGTGTTTTCTCCTCTTCTGTTTCCTGGGAGAAATTGTATAAAATTGGTATTAATTTTTTCTTTAAATGTCTGTTGGAATTCTCTAGTGAAACCATGTGGGCCTAGAGATTTCTGTATACTGTACCCTTTTAGCTCATCACATTCTACCTTCAAGTTCATTATACCACCTCACACTTAGTATAAGGACCTTCCGTTTTTCCCTTCCTGGTCTTAATGCTTTTTTTCCCACTTGTAAATATGCTATAAATAGCATGTACCATAAATCTGACAACATATTACAACTATCTTATTTAAAGTCCGTTTTCCTTTAAATCAACTTAAATAATGAGGAAAACATCTTATATATCTACCTGTGTAGTTACCACCTCCTGTGCTCTTCAGTTATTTTTGTGCTGATACATGTTTCTGGTATCCTTTTCATTCTGCCTGAGGGACATCGTCTAACTAAATAATTCCACTGTAAATGTGCTGTTAATGAATTCTTTCAGCTTATATGTCTTAGGAAGCCTGTGTTTTACATTTGTTTTGAAAAGGTACTTTTCACGGAGTATGAAATTCTGGATTAACATTTTTTTCTTCAGTATTTTAAACATGGTGTTCCACTCTCTTCTTGCTAACTTTATTTCACACAGTATATCTGTTGTTATTATCTTTGTTTTTCTGTTATCTAATGTTTCGTTGTGTTTTTGTTTTTGTTTTACTCTTGATGTTTTTAAGAGTTTATCACTGATTTTGAGTAATTTGATTGTGATAGATATTGGTCTGGGGGTTCATGTTTCTTATCTTTGTGGTTCCTTCTCATCTTTTTGGGTGGTTCTTTCTCTGGTTTCGGATAGTCTGCTTGCACATGTGTGTCATAAGTACTCTGCTGAATAATCCAGGTAAACTGTGTCTAGGTGTCTGGAGTTCTCTTTCTGTGCAGCTCGCTCTTCTCTGGTACGCCATCCTACAAACTCTAGCCATCCCAATCTACTCAGATTCTTAGCTCTGCTTCCCAACACAGGAGTTCTCCAAGCTCTGCATGAAGTGCTCCTCTCAGCTCTGTGGCCTGGGAGTTCTCGAAATGGCAATAAGCTGGGGCAGTCATAAGGCTCACCTTGTTTCCTTCCCCTTCTGTCAGAGACCACTGACCTTTATTGCCTGATGTCCAGTACTTTGAAAAACTTAGTTTCCAGGATTTTGCCTTTTTTGTTGTTTCAGATGAAAGAATAAATTCATTTTCTATATTACCTCAATGGCTGGAAGCTACACTAAATTATCCTTTGAAGTTTAATTTTTTTAATTCTTTTATATCCAGTTTTTCCAGTGCTCTTCATTCCTTAATGTAGTTTCAGATTTCCATATGATATCATTTTCCTTCTGCCTGAAATACTTTAACATTTATGATAGTGCAGGTCTGCCGCTATTAAATTCTTTCAACTTCCGTATGTCTGAAAAAGTCTTATTTTGTCTTCATTTTTTAAAGATACATAGAATTCTAGGTTGACAGGGTATTTTTTTTCCTTTCATTACTTTTAAGATCTTACACTATTCTAGTTTGCATTTCTTTCTGCTGCTTTTCTAATCTTTTTTTTTCTTCCTCTGACTGCGTTTACAATTTTCTCTATCTTTAGTTTTAAGCAGTTTGATATTATGATATGCTTTGGTGTTGTTTTCTTGTGCCAGGTGTTTGTTGAGTTTCTACTTTTTAGATTGTGGGTTTATAGTTTTTATCAAATTTAGAGACATTTTGGCCACTGCATTTTCAAATATTTGTTTGCCTCTTCTCTTTTTGGGGGGACTTTAGGCTTACTGGTGCTTATTCCTTTTTTTTTCCTTTTTTTTTTTTTTTCATTCTTCCGCTCTGCATTTCATTTTGGATAGTTTCTATTCTTATCAAGTTCATTGATCTTCTGCATTATTTGTCATTAATCCTACCCACTTTATTTTTTATCTCAGATACTGCACATCTCTAGAAGTTCTATTTTTATTTGTTGCCTTTTATATTTAATATGCTTATTCTCCTCCTTGAATATATGGGATATAGTTAAATAGCAACTATAATATTCTTCTTTATTCGGTCCGTCATCTCTGTCATTTGTTAGTTTCTATTGATTCATTTCTCTTTCTACTAAGGATGATACTTTCTTGCCTCCTTCGTAGGCCTCATGATTTTTTGTTAGATCCCAAGCACTGTGAGTTCTACCTCATTAAGCACTGGGCTATTTGCATTTCTATAAATAGGAGCTTTGTCACTGAACACAATTAAATTACCTGGAAGGTACTTAGAAACAGTTTGAGCCTTTCAGCCTTCCTTTTAAGCTTTCTTAGGAGGTTCCAGAGCCCTGTTTCTCCAGGACTGATTTTGCCCCACTCCTCAAGCAGCGCCTTGTGGGTACTCCAGCAGACACTTGCTGGACTGTGAGGTTCACGGTCTGGCTAGTGTAACACAATCGTCCCAGCCCTCTGTGAGCCCCAGTGATTGTTTCCTCTGTTCCTCGTGGGTCAGCCTCCCCTCAGACACCTCTCTCTGATGGTTAGTGCTGGAGTTGGGGTGGGGGGGAGGATCTCTGCAGATCTGTGGCTCTCTCATACTCTGCTCCGTGAACTCTAAGCTCCTGGCTCTCCTGGCTCCCTCTGGGTCTCCCTCCTCACACTGCAGCCCGGAAACTTTTCACACAGAAGCTGAGCATTTGTTATTCTTAAGGAACTGCCCTGTACTGCTGGTGTCAGTATCTGAAAGCGCACACGTTTCAGCTGTTGAGCTGTTTCAGGTTGAAGAGTAAGTCTGGTCCTTGTATCTCCATCTCGGTCATCTTGGTCATAAGCAGAAGTCCCTTTATTTGTCTTGTATTTAAAGTTATCAAATCTAAATGTGAAGAGGAAGGGTAGGAGAGAGAAAGACTGATAAAATTTAATAAAATCCAAAATCCCTTTGCAGAAGACTGGGCAGGGTTTTAATTATCCCAAGCTTTTATTGACCTTCAACTCCTTAAACTTTTAAATGCCTTGGCTTGAATATACACAGTATCACTCATGTATAAAACCCTTATGGCTGCAATTTACCCTAAGAGTACCACATATGTATGGCATAAAGGAGGGTATCAGGTCTATACATTTCAAGTGTATACATCCCAAATATAGTGTAAGGAAAGGAATCCAGATTTTTTTTTTTTTTAAACACTTGTCCTGTCACTGAGTAATCATGTATTCTGGCATAAGCCCAGCCCCTGCCACGGTATACTCTTCTGTGAAATTGTTGTCTGAAGATCAAGCTATATAACGTGTAAAAGACTGTAATAAAATATGTTAAACAAATTTAAGGTGTTACTAGTATTTGTTAGTATGGTTCTAAATCCATCTCCACAAATACATCCATGCATGGAGGATATATCTAAAATTTTATGTGGCTATAACGTTCAATCCAATTCTCATGCCTCCCCATTGGGCTAGTACGATATCCGCTGTGTTATCGTGAGCAGCATGTTCAGAGGAGATCCTCCAGGCTCCAGTTCTCACTCACTAATCTTGAGGTATATGCATGTGGTCTCTTAAAGCCAGGTTTTTGGAAAATATATGCCAAGGCTGGAAACACCAGGGCTTAAGGTATCCTCCTAAAGAAACCACTCAGTCATTCCTTTCATGCCCCATCCCAAATCTCTCTGTTGCTTTACCCACAGAAACATTTCTGAAGGCAAGGGAATTGAAATAGCTGTGGTACTTTCTTACATGGGAGAAAAAAAGTGGCAAGAAGAAGAAAATGTACATCAGTATCACAATAAATTATTATATGTTTATGTTAGGGAGACCGGAATTTTGCAAGGGAGGAAAGATAAATCTAGGATACAAATGAAGGGAGACTTGCACTTTTTACTCTTTTGTTTGAATTTTTATGGTGTGCTTTATTACTTTCATGATCTGTAAGTGAAGCAAAATGTTGATTGCTAGTATTTTTTCTCAGCTGAAATCTGAATAAGAAAGATCATCATCAGTAGTAAGGAGCTTAAATGTATTCTTTATAGGAAGTTGAGTATTTTAATTGATGTATAACAAAATGAGCTGAGAACAAAATATAAAGCAGAATGACAATTTGGCTATTGATAATGTGTGGTACTTTGATATGTAAAAGAGAATGTCTGTATATCATTTAGCCAGGATGTATTTAAGCAAAAAGTCTTTATCATATAAAAGGGATTTCTTGATTTATAAGAAGACAGAATTACCAAAGCCATGCAAACATTTCAATACCAAAAGCATGCAGATATTTCAAGAAAATTCAGATTATATGATACATAAAGTCGGTTCATAAGACTTTGACTTGGAGTAATTTTAACACATGAAAAGTTAGAATTGTATTTACAGAGAAATATGCTGTTGTATGTATTTTAATTTTACTTCCCAGTTTGCCCTTTAAAAATATGTTTCTGTGGGTGTACACATGTAAACTCTTCTGAAGTAGCCTTAGCATATTCCTACAGTGAGGGTAAGATGTGTGTGATATCTCTATCATATTTGTTAAATTCTGCCATTTAGCTGCAACCAAATTTGTTCCATACAACATTGAATGAAGACTGCTATGAACAGGACTCTACAAACCTGCATGAGGCCACCCTGGAGCACTGACCTCAGTTGTGTCCCCAAGGTTCTGGTCCCATCCAACTGAACAAATCCCATGCACCATTAAAGATTCACCTTAGGGGGTCAGCTGTCCTTCTCAAGTTTCTATATTGCCCTTCCCACTTGGTCATTAGCATTAATCCAGGTATCACAGGATATATGAGGAATTACACAGACTCCATCTTGGTCTACAAGGATATCATCTAGGACAGTGTGTCCTCCACAACACCATAGCCATGATTTGAATTGGCCTGAATGTTTCCAGAAACAAGAGGAGTGATCTTTGATCATTTTAGCTAAAGACAGGCACAAATTTCTTACCAACCTTTTTTATTGGATGATTCCCATTGTAGAGATCGGAGCCCTTAGGCTATACATAAATAACAAATCAGTTATCCTCTCTAGAAAGCTTTCATGAATAAGAAGGGTAACTTCATTTTGGAGCCATCTTTACAGACATGTGAGATCTCTATGAGCTACTTGTGTTATTCCCAAAAACACTTGAAAATGTCTTACGATAGATGAAAGTCACCGTGTTTTCCAGAGAGATAAGTCAGCACCTGCTTTACAATTGTTAGCCCTCCTAAAATGGGACCTATATCAGTCAAGGACACAGGTGACAGTGTATCCAATGTGAATTCCTGTCTAGCTGATAAGACTTACAGTTTCAAGTTCTGTTCAGTAATGGAGTCTAGTTCTTGCTTTTGCAAAGAATGCCCAGGGGCAGCCACTCTCTGCTGTTTGTGCACATCATCAGCTTGGTGGCATTTGTCCATGCCATAGAATGAACAAGTGACAGCTATGAGAACGGGTGTGGGGAATATATCTGAAAGGTGTGTTGATAGGTGTTTTTTCGTTTTTGTAAGGGAAGGATTTGGAACCGGGGCCATCCTTTTCTGTTTCCATAGACTTCTTAGTAATGTTAAGAAGAATGGCAATCAGATTTTGAGTCCTCTGTTGAGGCATGGCAGGCCCAGCAGTCAGTTAAATTTAAGGTGCTTGTAACAGTTTGGGAAAGCCACACCAAGGTGTTCTCCATCTTCAGGAAAGCTCCAGGGGTGGTTCTGAAAGACAGTGCTCATTTCTTTTTTCCTCAGAAGCATCTGGGGTCAGGTATTCTCAGTTTCCAGAATTGCTGTTTTCCCTCCACTTACATGTAACTATGTCCCTTTCCAGTGGCTGTAACTCCACCACTTGCCATTTGTTCCTTACTCATACCCAGGCCTTTCATGTGGAAGGGTTGGGTACAAGAGAGACAAGGGCATTTTTATAAAATTTACGGAGACCCATTGTGCCATTCCCCCCTAACTTTGTCCCACATGGACTGCTGTAGCAAGGCTTGGCAAGTACTTGTACTCAAAGAGTTAGTGATTATCTTTTTGATCTAAGGCCACATCAATGAAAAAATAAATTCCTATCTGTGAACCAAAATAAATTTGAATCCCTTGCCTCCTTTTGGCTAAGCAGCCTCCCAGAAGGTGTACCAACCAAGCCAGCCTGTCATTGTCATTAGGAAAAAGAAGAATCATACTCAGGAATGATCAGGAAGGGGACATCTGGGTGGCTCAGTCGGTTAAGTGGCTGCCTTCACCTCAGGTCATGATCCCAGGGTCCTGGGATCAAGTCCCGCATTGGGCTCCTTGCTCAGCAGGGAGCCTGCTTCTCCCTCTGCCTGCAGCTCCCCCTGCTTGTACTCTCTCTCTCACTCTCTCTCGCCTATGCTCTCTCTCTCTCTAGCAAATAAATAAATAAAATCTTTAAAAAAAAAAATGATCAGGAGGAATCCTGAATTTTCAAAACCGTTCTGTACAATCTCCCAACACTTTCATTCTGACTCTAATTCAGAAAACAGCTGAGAAGAGATGATCCCTTTCTGAAGACGATTGCATTCATCAACCAAACTGCCTTACTAGGGTGTACGGACTGGAAGAAAGTGACAGAAGTAGAGCCAGACATTTTTGAGTCAGTTCTGGAGGAGAATGCCCCAAAGCTCCATAATACCAGATCCCAGTGAATTGCAGGGAATGTGAAAAGCCCATTAAATTCTTAACCATCAGCCCATTTTTTAATTGTTTTGTGATAAAAGGCACACCATTGTCAGGTTGGAAGTGGTCCAGAAATATAAACCAAAAATGTCACACAGATGACTTTCACAAGCCACAACAGTGTGGCCGGTATAAGCTTATCAGACTGGAAGAGCAACATAAAACCTGAAAAAGTGTTACTAGCAATGAGGCACCACTTACAGCCCCAAGAAGAGGTCAAAGATCAGTTGTAATTAATGCGTTAGGAGCAAGGACGGGCATGCAATGGTAGCCTCTGATTTTCAAACAGGATCTTTTACTCTGTACCCAGTGGAATGGTTGATGTGTTACCATGTCTGGTATGATGATGGTTCAGGTAAGCAACGGTGGCAGTCTGGGTAGTGCAGACCCAACCGGCAGCTTGATTCCAGTCAGTTTCAACAGGAAATAGGTCCATCTGCATGAGTGACCCAGAGGGTTCGATCAGCAGTCACTCTTTGTTTCCATAGTGAGCAGTGCCAAAGAGGGGTGTCATTAATCTTCCAGTCTATACTTTTCCAAGTGACAGTCCAAATAGGCCGTGGCAACAACCCCAGAGTCAGTAAAAATATGAGGTTTACCAAGGGTAGTGTTTGTCATGTCAGAGCTGTAAGAACAGGCTTTTCTGCCCGCTGAGTGGAATGCCCATGGCCATTTTCAGGTCTGAGCGGTTGGCCCTGAGGCTGAACAGTTGCAGCTGCTCAGTGGACACCATCCGATTTCAGCTTAGCCAGACCATCAGGGAAGCAAGCCCCAGCACTGAGGGAGACTCTGGGAGCCGAGGGCCCCACTGAGCCAGCGACTTCGCTGCAGGTGGTGGAGAGGGACAGTTATAATTTTTGCACGTGGAGCCAAGATGCCGTGGAGGCCAGGCTGGCTGCATTCTTGAATGTACCATTTCCATTACTGGATCCTTTTCACTCTGTTAGTCATTGAGTCTGAGTCCATCCACCCCAAAATAGAAATAGCAGGTTATAGTCACAGCTCCCCCCCGGGAGTCAGGCACTCGGCTTCAATAAGAGCCCCAGGAAACTAAGAGCTGCTTCTCGAAAGAGGCAAAACTGGTAGCTATGTTGAGGAGGCAATGAGTCCAAACCCCAAGGGGCATCACCGAGTGGAGGTCACCTCCCTTTGCCAGAGGTTCCAGTTGGCAACAGTCAGTCATGGAGACTTGTAGCTCAAAGGGATCCCTGAAGACGGAGGGCCCCCGATGTATTAGTATTCTCTATACCCAGCTCTTCCCAATCAGGAGAAGCCCTTTTGGTACTTAGGAGTATTTGCATATAAGCATGTAAAACACCAATACCAATTCTGCATTCAGCCCTGGAACCCAGAACAGCAATGCATTAACACAGAGGCTCCACGCCCAAGTTCATGCTAACTTGCCTTCCCCAACTGTGAGCTCTGCCCCGATCCCATCAGTTGAATTTGGGCACCCCATCAGCACATGGGACCCAGTAAAATGGTAATTCAGGTGTTGGTATCCGCCAGAGCCACAACAGTGTGAATCCCTTTCCTTCCCAATATTCCCCAACACACACGATAGATTGTGGCCTTTCATCCCTTTTGGGGAGAGGGAGATGTCACCCTGACCCTAACCTCCTTTCTCCTTAAACCAGCTGAGGTCAGTGAAAGGAG